CTGCTGTATCCTCTGCCAATCATCCTCACTATCTGCAGCTCCCCAAATCTTTGTGTTGTCCACTACCTACATTTGTCTCCAAATCCCCCCATTTCTATGAGCGGTTAATTTCTTAAATCCACCCAAAATATTATACTGAATGTTTAGCACTGGCATTGATGGTGCATTATTAAAAACAGCACAAAATCCAACTGTGACTGCAAAACTTCCAGTTATGTTTCTAACTTTCTTGGGGTAAATGCTTGAGATAGAAAAATCACAATGGGATATATCAATAAAAAAATCTGCATAGTATTGCCACTCTTCTCAGCAGTGGGAATGTATTGCCATCTTCCACCAGTAAAGCATTATGTGAACAAGAGTAGTCCACTCAGCAAGATTGTGGCAGATCTGATTTTATCAACTCTACATTCTTGCATATCCCTGAAAATCTTTCACCCCCTCAATAATCAAAAAATCCATCTACCCTTTCTTTTCAATGTTTCAAGATTCTAGATCCACTATCTTTCGGGAAAGGATTTTCACACCCCTTTAAAAAAAAAAGGGTCACCCATTTAAACTATGGCCCTTAGTTGTAGATTTTTCGCACAAGAGGAGACATCTTTTTGACATCCACCCAGCAATATCCCCTGAGAATCTATGTTTCAATTAATTCACAATTGGATTCTTTTAAACACTACTGGAAACATTGCCTAACCTGTCTAGTAATCTGGTCATTCCAGATATTAGTCTAGTAAACCTTCTCTGTACTGCTTCCCACGTATTTGCATCCTTCCCTATTATGGTGACCAGTATTCCAAAAGCAACTTCACAAATGCCTCATATAACTGAAGCAAATATAACATATGTAACCATATAACTTAATTGGTTTGTAGTTTGCTGTCTCCCTCCCTTTTTGAATAAAAGGAGTTACACTAGCTATTTTCCAACTGAAGGAACCTTCCTCAAATCTAATGAGTTTTGGAAAATTAAACACAACTATCAATTACTGTATCTCACTAGCTATTTCTTTTCAGACCCTAGGATGAAATCCATGAGAACTTGGGGACTTGTTAACTCAAAGTTCTAACAACCTACTCAGTACCACTTCCCTGGTAATTGTAATTTTCTCAAGGTCCTCCCTCCCTTTCAATTTCTGGTTTACAGTGGTTTCTGGGATACTACTTTGTAGCAAAGACCGAAGCAAAATATCTGTTCATTTCATTTTGCATCTCTTTATCCGCCATTAGTAATTCACAGCCTAATTCTTTATAGAATCAATAATTACTTCATTAACACTTTTTAAAATCTGAAGAAATTTGTGTGTTTCATATTTTTGGCTAACTTTCCCTCCTTAATATTTTAGTAATTCTTTGCTTTTAAAATTTTGTCTTTTCTTTGAGCTCAATATCACCTTGGACATTTCAGTTAACCATAGAGGGCAGGTTCATCTCTTAGATGTTGGTCCCTGTCTCAATTCTCTCCCCTTCTGCAGTTAATAGTTTATGTTGAGATATACTGTAAAGAATGTCACTGCTCACTGGTAATTCATCCAAATGTGAGAGCCTGGAGAGTAAGTTACTTGACATTGGAATCTAGTTTTATTGCTCTCACTTAATGATTACCCCACAACAGCCTGAAGGTTATCATTAAGTGGGAACTGATTAAATTATGGATTAGCCATATACTGTGGAATAATAATAATAATAATAATAATGCTTGACACTAATAAGGACAAAGCAGCCCACTTACTTAGCACCACATCCACAAACATTCAATGCCACCGCTTGTTAACAGCTGTGTGTACCATCTACAAATGCACTGCTTAAGTTAACCAGTGCTCATTAGAGAGCTTGTAAATCTATGACCACTACCCTTAAGGCGGGGGAGAGCATAAAGTGCAGGAGGTACATGGGAACAACAATCACCTGCAAATTTCCCTCCAAGCCACACTCAGTCCTGATTCAAATATATCACTGTTCTCCCAATGTTGCTACGTCAAGATTCTGGAGCTCCCACCCAAATAGCATTGCAGGTTTACCAACAGCAAATTGATTACAATTGTTCAAGAAAACAGCTCACTATTACCTTCTAGAGGACAACTGAAGATGGGTAATAAATGCTAACCAGCCGGCAACATCCACATACTGTGGATTCGTAATCCTTTTCTTTTTCCTTTGTCACTGTTTGGTGTTGCTATTTAATTGTACAAGAGTAGACAGTTTGAATACCTCATTCAACAGACTGTTACACATCCCAAAGGGCATTCTAGTATGTTACGTTCTTGTAGTGTAGGTGACTGCTAACAAAACCCAAAGTCATCTGTGGATCGGTGGTAGCATTCGCTGCCTGGGTAGTTGGAGCGCCACACCCCACCACACACGTGATATGTTTAATTGAGGCACCATCTGCAAGCTGAAGTCAACATAAAAAAGGATCCTGCTCCCACGGCACTATTCTAAAGATTGGAGGAACTCATTCCTGCTGTCATGGCAATTTTTTTTTAATGCATTCACAGGATGAAGGCGCTACTGGCTATGGCAACATTTATTGCCCATCGGACAGTTAAAAGTCAACCATATTGCTGTAGGTCTGCAGTCAGATGTAAGCCAGACCAGGCAAGACCCAGAATATCCCTGGGTTTCTGGATTAACAGTCCAGTGATAATTATACTAGACCATTACAAAGTAACAAATATTGTAGAAGTTACATAGTATTAGCGAGCAAAGTATGAGGCCACCCCACAGAATGGTGTTAGTCTCTCTGGTAAAACCCAAACAGTAGCAAAAGCTTTTTTTTTAAAAAAAAAAAAAAGAATTGCACTCTTGTAATTTTGTTGAGATCTTATGGTACCATGCATGAGGCAAACTAAGAGTTGGTCTTAGCCAAAAATGTTGGCCAGAGGGCAGGTGACAGCTTTGGTGCCCGTTCTTTGGCCAGAGCTATTCAAACGGAGGATGAAAAGTCAGCCCTTAGAAGTTAAGTATATTTGATACTTGCTAATCTACAAATAATGACTTTGAAAGATCTTTTCAACACCGGAGTTAGTTTGAGGAGAAAAAGCACAAAAAAAAAAAAGGAGACACTTACTGAAAACAGACAAACGACTATTCTCAAATCTGTCCTCTGTCATGACTGTTTTTGTGCTGTGTAGCTGATGCATAATATGTAAACCATTACTGAATACCCAGTCGTCACCTAAACAAATGACTGAATACCCTGCTTTAAACATGAGCTTAACTTTTTTTTTTTGGGGGGGGGGGGTAATCTGTGACCCCCACACTTAAATCATACCTTTGGATGTTCTGGATTTGTGTTGCATTATCCCGATCAATCAAGCCCAGACTGGCAAAAAGCAGGCACATGGCATGTTTATTAAGGGAGTGGAATGCAAGAATGAAGCAGCTTTGTTTGGACTAACTGCACATTGCTTTAGGGAGACCACATGTAGAATACTATGCAGTTTTGGTCTCCACATTTCAAAGGAGGGTTATACATTTATTGGAGTGAGTACCAGCGAAAGTTTACTGAACTGGTCTTTGGGATAAGGAGTTAATGATAACAGGCTAAGTAAACAGAGCCTATAATTTAGAACAGGAGAGACACTGTTGTTGAAACATACAAGGGACTTATGAAGAAAAGGACCTGATAGGGTAGACTAATTGACCAATAGAGACAAGGAAGCTAAAATGCAGGACAGTCTCAAGCTAAGGGCCTGATTATTTAGGACAGAGGTGAGAACTATGTATTTTAGAAAAGTTACAAAACATTGGAATTCTCTAGCCTGGAGGGTTGTCAATGTTCTATTGAATATATTCAAAGGCTAGGAGAGGCATAGTTTTCATCAATCAGGGAAATGGGGATTATATGAGAGAAGTGCAGTTGAATCACATGATCAAATGGAATACCAGAGTAGACTCAAGTTGTATGATTTTGATGAAGTGGAGAAGACCACCCAGATACAGAATAAATAAAGGATAATAGCATAATGAGGGGCACAGAGTTATGGAAGATAAATGAAAACACATTACAGGACTTTGAAAAATGGGTCTCAAGTACAAAGCCAGGTTAATGGAATGTGAAGAACGATCTATTGTGCATCATACTCGTATATTCTGGAAGGGGTCAGTTGGCTGGACTGGTAGTTTGCAAAGCACAGTGAAGCTAACAGTGTGGGTTCAATTCCCAAACCAGCAGAGGTTACCAAAGACCCACCTTCTCAAACTCTCCCCTTGCCGGAGTTATGGAGAGCCTCAGGTTAAGCCACCACCGTACATCCCTCCAATCAGCACACAGCCTTTGGTGCATTGGGACTATGGCAACTTTACTTTACTTTATAGGTTGTGGAATTTTGGGCACGAGATACAATTTTCATGCTTTGTAGATTTTCGTACGTGGGGACCAAGAATCCACTTGACAGTGGGAATAACTAAAAAGCAGGAACACCAATCAAGATCAGACAGAGGCAGGATATGCTTACTGTTTCCCAGGTATGGTCTCAGCTCCATCCACTCCACTACTCCAAATTCCCACCTAAAAAGGCTAAGTTGATGTGTGAATCCTGGCAAGGCATTGAATGAGGACTAGCCAGAATCAGCTAATTCAGATTGAACTATCAGAAGAATGCAATTAAACATACTTACCAGTGACAGATACTAAAACTGTGTTTTACCTTTGGCATACATATTGCTTGATACAATTGTCAGAGACCTCATTGCAAAACAGCATAATGACACATAATACAAGGACAAACGTTTGTTTTTTCAACTGCCTGTAGGCATTGTTTTCTTGACCTCTTCCATGCAATTGGTTCAAAAACTGAAAACCAGCTCACTTTCAGATGCAAACAGAAAACACTGATACATGTGGTGTTCGCACCACAGCAAGTTCTAAATTTCCCTCACATTAGGTGTAAAACAAAATTTCTTAACTTATGCATTTAAATTAGCAACTACAAAGTTCAGACAATAAAGTATATACATTTTGCACATTCTTCACATCAAATATGAAAATGACAGGTATTGTTTATAAATATTCATTTAATTTAATGTTTACAGAGAAAAAAGGAACACTTCAGCATTCAAATACGTTAATTTCTGCAATTCATAGTGTAAGTACTTGCAAGTATAAAGTACTCACAATAAACACTATGAACTGATTACACAATTTCATAAGTTACTTCAGCAGTGTTTCCCCCCCCCAGGTACAAGTGGTCTGAATAGATGCATAGCTGATTCAAGCAAAAGAATCCCCAAATGTACGACTCCTGTCTAGGATCGGAAGTATAAAGTTACATTTATATTAAAAAAATCCTGAGCTGAGCATGGAATTGCAATGCAACAATTCCTTATAGAAGTCCTGATCTTTATGTAAGCATTTAAGGTTTCCACAAGTGTTCTAGATTATAGCTATATACGGTAGAAATTATATCTTCCCAGTTGTCAGCAACCGATTCAGTCGAGAGAAATGTTGAGCTGGCTTTAGCGGACCCTAACCTTGCAGTGGCTGGTCAGCCTCAATCCATCCCCACTTTCACTCAAGAAATGGGAATCGGTTTGATAATAAATTCACATTTCCAAATACAAAATACTTGCATACTGATTTTTCCCTTCAAGGTGGGAGGGAAAGTTAAAAAATCAGAAATACTCAAGCATAACTTTCAGGAACTTTGAAAGGAGAAATGGGGAGCAAAAAAAAAGAAAATTACTTAGGAGGTACAATGCCAGAATTTGCATTTTCCTCTATTTTGGTTCATATTTTACTGTAAAATTAAAAAAGGTATTCTTATTACGAATACAATGGTAGTAGCTCCAAATGGTACAGTTGACAAACTCAGCGGTCTTGGAATTTCCTTCGAGTCAGCATTCAAGATCTCGGCCTTGTGCCTGCTTTCGTTAACACTGGCTATCGTCTCTGAAGTCCAGCTGTGTGTAATGTTGTTGGCTCATGCTGGCATTGGCTCAAGTTTGGAATTCCAGTCTGCAATGGAAGCTGCATTGTGTAGGCGTAGCCAAGATTGGGGTACTGAGGGGAGGCTGGGTAGTAATGTTCATAGGTAGGATATTGTGTATACAATGCAACATTGGAATCCAGGTACGAGGTGGAGGGCAGGACCAGGCCAGGTTGAAGGATGGTCTGTGGGATCAGGTATGGTGCAACACTGGAAAAAGGTCAGAAAAATTAAAGGTTAATCTTTTAGCGCTGATCATCTTTTATATGACTTGAGAAACACTGATGCTTTGTATTGCTTTACAGATTCATTGAAGTGTGTTGGACCCTTTAATGTTTTTGACGCATGTTGATTTAAAAAAGGGCTAACTTGTGCACGGCCTGTGGGGATAATTTCTGGTTGCAGACTCAAAGAAACTACCTAAAACTCCACTGCAGGACTGTGTATTCAATCTATACTGTCCAGTATTGGACAGTGTGCTGCATTGTTAAGGGCACTGTCTTTCAAAACCAGTGATTAAACTGAGGATCCATCTGCCTGATGATGTGGGCACAAGAGATTCCACTACACTAATGTAAGAACAAAGGAGTTCTCCTGGAATCCTCGCCAATATTTATCCTTTAAACACCATCAAAAAAAAACATTAGCCAGCTGTCACAGTTCTCAGTTGCTAGTTAGTTTGAAGACAATTACCTTAAAGGATCAGCGTGACTGCATTCAGTGCAGGCCTGCTTTCAGGAAATGTATCAAACACATTTGAATTTGCATACAAGGGACTCAAAGTCCATTTCAGACAGCCTCTGATTTTCTTTACTTCTAATGCAGAACATACTCTCCAGTCTTCACTATATTGAATGCTACTGTACCCCATCTTTGGTCTATAAAAGATGCACAGCAAAGAATAGACCCAAGTATCAGCAGGCAGTTAACATTATACACTAGCACAGTTCTTCCCAACATATTGCTCTGTTCAAACCAGCATTTGCAGTACAAGTCAAAAAGCAATAGAAGCAAAGATTTTGTGTGTAGCAAATATCAATCTCAAGAATCAAAACTAGGAGCAAAATTAAGACCATACCTCATTTACCACAGATCAATTGACAAGAACATTTAGAAATAAGAAAAGCCAATTGGATCATCAAAACCATCATATTCTCTCTTGATAACTGAATGGCACATGCCTCCCGATCATAAGTCTTAATTCCTCCTCTTTGGAGATTAGAATTTTTTATTCTGATTCAACATTAAAGTGAGAATCTCAGTGGACTCCTGTTATTTCAGCACATTTTCTGAATTTATATAATCAGCTACTCCAGAAATCTAAAGTACAAAATCCCAAATACTGCATTGCTTTCTTTGCAACACAAGACCTCTGACCGGAAGTAAAAGAACAGTCAGCTAAACACACAAATATGCGAAACATTTGTATTTCTCCTTTTGCCAACACTACAAAAGCAGGAAGGAGTAAGATTCTTGAGGCAAGGTCAGTTACCAATTGGATTACCAGGTGTCCAATTAATTTGTTTTATCAATGGGATAATCTTGATTCTTGGGTGTATGTCAGTGGTGATCAACTGAGGTCCTGAACTTGTATTCTTTATGATGAATGGCCCAGATTTACAGAGAATAACCAAATGGTTACAGTGTAGAAGCAGCCATTTAGCACTGGACCTCAAAACATTTTGAGTAGCCCTGTAAATGCCTTAAATCAAAGTTGCCTCTACCACACTCGTGGGTAATGTCTTCCAGACTCTACCTAAATGCGGAGTGAAAAGGTTTCTGGTCATCTCATATTTGCTTCTTTGAAAAACCACTCAAGTGTGTATACTCAGGATTTTGGGAGGGGAAAAAAAAAAAAAAAAAATCAGATCTGTTCTCTCCATCCACCCTCAAAAACAAGAACAAATAAGAAACAGTCCCCTTCTTTAATTTATCCTCACTGAAGTTTCTCATCCCTGTAAACCATTCCTGTAAATCTCTTCTGCAATCTCTCCAATGTTTACATCCTTTCTGTAGTATGGCACTTTACTCCAATTGAGAAGTCTTGTAAAGGTTCAGTATCACCACCTTGCTCTTGTACTCTATGCTTCTACTAAATTAAGCCTAGAAAACAGCATGGTTCAATTCTGTCCTAGTCCTGCCACCCTTAGTGACTTGTGCACATCTACGCTTGGGCTTCTGCTCCTACAGAGACTTAAGAGTAGCACCCTTTAAAGTCCCTGTTCCTTGCACCAAAATATACCAAATATATCTCCAATTTGAACTTCATCTGCTATCCTTCTGGCCAATCCACCAACTTGCAAATGTCTCTGAAGTCTGACAAGTTCTGTACCATCTGCAAACTTTAAAAAACCCATTTCCATGCACATCTAGATCTAGATCTAGATCATTTATAGCAAAAATCAGGAAAAGCAAGAATCCCTATTAGCATCCTGGGGGTGACCATTAAATGGCTAGTCCAGTTTGGTTTCTGTTCAAGTGCTACAGGAGCAGCTCAGGCATTAGGAATCTTGCAGCAAGTAACTCACCTCCTGTCTGCCCAAAGCTTGACCATTAACAAGACACAAGTCAGTAGTGTGATGGAACACTCCCCACTTGTCAGGAGGAGTACGGCTGCAACAGCACTGAAGATGCTTGACACCATCCAGGATAAAGCAGCCTGCTTGATCAACACTACATCCGCAAACATTCATTCCCCTCTGCCAATGCTCAGTAGCAGTTTGTACTATCTACAAACTGCACTGCAGAAATTCACCCAGGCTCCTTAGACAAAACCTTCCAAATCCACACCGACTTCCATCTAGAATGGCAATGGCAGCAAATACATGGGATATTACCACCTGTAAATTATATTAGGTCAGTATCACCAGCTGAGGGGATTACAGAGTACAGATCAGACTCATCTCAAAAATAAAAGCAAAGGGTGGGCAAAGTCCTTCTAAAATTCCTTCAGTATCCTAGCAGGGATTTACAACTTGCATTACAGATTGGTCCAAAGCAGGTTAAATCCTCCTAAAGGCTGAAGGGAGATCCGAGTAAAGAATAGAGAAGGTAACAACACTGGCTCCAACCTAAACACCCATTCATGCTCTGGATTAATTCAACTAATTGGTTCATTGGAAGGACCAAGTCATACTACTAGCTAGAAGTTAATTAGTATCTTGATGTTATAGCCAAGAGGGTTGGAATGCACACAGATTAATGCACCTAATGAATAATATCTGGCCAAACCAGATTTCCTCAATAGACCAAAAGGAGCATGCAACACAGATGACAAGGTCTTTGATTCAAAACAACTGCCCACTTCTGTCCCCTGGCAGTAGAGGTTTTTCATTTGGCCTTCCTACCTTGGACTTGGGTGTGATCTGCCTAGGTTGCCACTGTCTCCTACAGAAGGAGAATATGCTGCCCATAGTCAAGTGCAGACATACACTTAAAGCATGGAACGCATAGGACTACACTCCATTAGGAGGCACGCTTTCGGAGAGGTGGAGCAGGGGGAACGGAAGGACTCTAGCTGTCACCATCACAATAGGCAAGGTTAGACACCAATTGTTCAAAGCATCACCATGCATGTGCAGTTATGATCTTGGAAAAGACCAAACTGAGGTTGACGACTTGCTCACCCACCTGGCTTGTTTTTGTTCAGACGTTTCATCACCATGCTAGGTAACATCAGTGAGGCCTCCAATGAAGCAATGTTGTTCTACTCCACTTGGAATTTATACTCACCATCACGGACTGGACAGTAGTGTCATTTCCAGTTTTGTTCTGTATGGGTTTGTATATGGGGTCCAATTCTATTGGTTTGTTGATTGCATTATGGGTTGAGAACCATGCCTCTAGGAATTCCTGTGCATGTCTACATTTAGTTACGCTGTCCCAATTAAACTGATTGCCTTCATTTTCCGAGTGTACTAATATGAATGAAAGTTGATAGTGTCATTTTGCTGCTAGCAAGTGTTTGTGTATTCCGATGGCTAGTTTCCTTCCTGTCTGTCCGATGTAATATTTATGGCAGTCGTTGCATGATATTTTTTTAAACTACCAAAGTTTTGGATGTCATGGGAACAGGGTCTTTGATCCTGGAGTGTTTGTTGTAGAGTGGCTGTGGGCTTGTGTGTAACCATGATTCCTAGTGGTCTTAGGAGTCTTGTTGTCAGTTGATATGTTCTTGACGTAGGGCAGTGTGGCCAGTGTTAGGGTGTACTGCATCCTCCTGTTGTCGTCTGTTTAGTAGGCACTTGTGGATGACGTTGCAGGGATATCCGTTCATAGCGAAGATTTTGTATAGATGCTCTTCCTCTTTCGTGCATAGTTCTGGTGTGTTGCAGTGAGTAGTGGCCAGTTTAAATAGTGTCCTAATACAGCCTTGTTTGTGGATGTTGGTGTGGTTGCTGTGGAAGTTGAGGATTTGGTCAGTGCAAGTTGCTTTCCTGTATACTGAGGTTTGGAACTCACCATTGGTCACATGTTCAATTATGTAGCACAGCATCGCTTCATCAGAGGCCTCACTGATGTTACCTAGCATGGTAATGAAACCTCTGTACAAAAACAAGCCAGCTTGGCTAGCAAGTTAACAACCTCACCCACAACCAGAGTGACAAATCTTTGCTAAATCCTTAAATACCAAATTCTCCCAATTTCCATTCAGTTGCCATAAAATGCATGTTTATAGTGTTACAGATGCCCTTTTCCAGTAGACACTAATGCTCAAATCTTTTCAAAATTATGCCAGAATTTTACAGCAACTAAAGAATCACTTCTCAGGTATCAAACACAGGACCATCAAGATCAAGATCAAAACTTGAAATAACTCAAGCATATGAAAGGAAACATACCACTTACCCGTATGGTCTCTGCATTAGAGGGGAATGCACTTGCTGCAGGGCCAGACCTCCTGGCATTTAAGGTGGTGGGGGAAGAAAAAGAGGGGAAAAAAATCAGCATTAGAGTAGGTTTAGATTTAAATAAATGTAGTAATAAAGAGCATTTGCAAAATTTGGGCCTTCTTGGGCTGAACTCTCAAAAAAGTACAAACATAAATATCTCAACTTAGCTTGCATGTCAAAGACTAGAATATAACAGTGCATGGAGATCCAGCCCCCCTGATTTGGAAATTGGGAATAAAGAACTGATGCTTTCCGTACCATGCTCAAATCATTTGTTAACACTACATCCATACACCCCAATAAAGCTACTTGGTTGAGGTACGGAATTGCTGTAATCACGTGAGTAAGATTGATGTTGTCCCATAAAAATAATGGGGCACATTTTGCAGAATTCAATATAATTAAGTTAAACCCAGGTAGAACGTAAAATATTAAAAGTAGAACTGGAAGATCCAAAGAGGCGTAGAACCTCGATTTAAAAGTTGCAAGACAATATTTTCCCCCCCGAGCCAACTTACATTAGTAAGTTTTGTTAGGAAAATTGATACAGCCTGCAGCAACATACAGACCCCAGCAAATATCCATATTCTTAATAGTCTTGTGCATTGGAGACTTGACTCCACCAGATGTTCCTTCCCATTACAAACTATGCTGCGTAATAATATCTAAGAATTAAATGAAATTTGATTGGTAGATTTGGACAAATTGAACTGTAGATCAAGGCCAAGATTTGAGTTAGTCTTTCTGGCTTGAAATTCAATGCTTTAATCACTCATTTTGTGGTTTAATAGAATAAATTGTAATGAATTCATAGTAACTTTAGCTACTTACTCCAGGCTCCTGCACATATGTGCTACTGTGTGTTGCACAGAAGGAGAATGGATGGATAATAAAATGTGACTTTGTAAACAAGTTAAAATCATTTGGGTTAAATTTATCACAGCTAGCAAATGAAAGAGACTGGCCATTTTAGAAATTAATTGGGCCGGGACAAGTCTACAAGTTCTTCTCCTGGAAATTGCTGCAAATTAAAATAGCATTGTTTTCTGCAGGGATCTGTATCTATGTCTCCTTTTTGAAGTTCATGGTCTCCATTAATAATATTTAAGAGACTGAACCAGGAAGTGTTAAATCAATTTGATATCAAAGCAGGTAAAGATAGCAAAATAAGGCAAAGATTGATCTTTTGAAGAATCTTTCAATTCAATGTTTGGAAGAATGAAACTCCACATTAAGTTAATTTTCAGTGTCAGTGGGTTTGTTCGGCAGTGAGCAAGACTTATCACACCATTAAAAAGGAATGGACAAGTCCTAACTTTATGGTAGTACAGTCCATTGCTATGATGCAAATATAGAAACTTCATTCTTTTCAACATATTTGACATAGAAGCCAGAGAACAAGATATCATGTTCCCACATCTTAGAAGAATGCCATATCCTGTACAGCAACTTCCAGATTTTTGCTGCACATCTGTTACATCCTAAAGGATCAACATCTGTGTTACTACTGAATTTAAAGAAAAGGACTATATACAGCTGAGGAAAAATCATTGACATCTATTGCACCTTAACTGTTACATTTGCTTAGCTATTTCTAGCCATTTTAAGAAACACCACTTTCTTTGAAATTAATACTAAAAAATATTGTAACAGCAGTATGTATTTCCAGTTTCTTCCAAGATCTTTTAACCTGCTGTTGCCCTGTATATACTCCAACTTTTCTGAACATTTACCTTTACAATAAGCCATCTTAGCAATTCATAAGGTGGCAACTGGTATTTGCTGCACCTCTTCACATCCATCTAGACTTAGTTTTAAAAACTGCCTGGGGTGCAGCAAATAGAATACATAATACACAATACACTACTAACCTTTGAAACTACCTGAATCAGAGCTCATCCCAATGGGAATTACTCAAATGGATGACATAGACTTGGACTATTTACTTCCTTGCAGGATACGAAAACAGAGAGACATTAGGTTACAAACAAACGATAACATAACCATGCCTGAGACCAACAAAGAGAACTTAATGGGAAATTGACAAACTTATAGTTATGTCATTCCTCTATTGTAAGAAAAGTTGCTTCATCTAAGTTATCAATTAGTCTAGTTTTTGAAACTAGTAATCAAGATAGAATTCTTTTTTCTACCTCCAGTTTTAAAAAGTTGGCCTAACACAAGGCTGAGATTCCAAACCTAGAACAAGTCAAATTCTACATTTTGTTCTTGGGGGAAGCAGGGGTATTGAAACATACCTGAATGTACCATGCGGGGTTTGGCCCCAAGAAAGGCAAGGTTCACGTTAGTTTTTCTTCCATCAATGATAGGATTAGGATCTTTACATGCCCTATCTGCTGCAACCCAGTCTGCCATGGTGACCTGTAATTTAACCCACGCCAAAAGAAGTTTGTTAAGAAAGAAATTCTAAACAGGAACAGGAGTTCACAATTCAGAGATTAACTTTGACAAGACAAAAAACCCACCACCAAACTTGCAACAGCCATTTGCTGGTACAGGTACTGTACCCCAATGCACATGTCTGAAGACTGACTTTTTCCCCCTCTTCTGGATGCCACTATTTACCATTATATAATTTACTGTTTCTTTATATTCCTTGTCTGCTGAAAGCAAACACACACTGCACTTTTCATGATCCAGCCCATTTATGATAGTAATGGATTGGACCTTCACTGAAAATTCTTAAGGGCTGAAAGGTTATCAGGGGTAGGCAGGGATATGGAGTAATCAGATCAGTGGAGGAGTAGACCTGAAGGCCCGGCAAATTACTTCTGTTGTATGTTTATTAGCTTGCAAAACATGCAATTTAGACACAAACCAATTAACTTTTTGCAGGTTCAAGCATTGGTTAACAGATAATCAAATTTAGGAAAGTCCAAAGTCTGGCATGGCCTCATCCCAGAATGCTGGTCTTGGGACACCATATCCATAAATGATGGGTAGAAAAACAGTAGTATTGTTAATTTTTGTTATTTGGCTTTTTGATAACCACTATTCATAGGGAGGTATTTCAGGAATGTAATAAAGGTAGGGATGCATTTCTACAGTCATATATGGCCATAATCTAAAGTACTGTGTACTATTTTGGTTTGATTTAAGAACATAAATGAATTAGAAGGTCAGAGAAGGTACACATGACTGATGCATAGGCTAGAGGAATGAACTTCAGGAAAATTGGTCCAACAGGGCCTGTATACATTGAAGTTTAGAAGAATATTAGGTGATCCTATTCAAACAAAATCTTGAGGGGACTTAGGCAGGGGAATGCTGAGAGGATACTGCCCCCTATGGGAAAGGCTAGAACTAGCAGATAATTTAAAAATAAAGAGGTCAAATCAGCCACAATCCTCTTGAATGGCAGAGCACGCTAGATGGGCTGAAAGGGCTTGTTACTAATTTGTAGGCAAGAGTTCAACGAGCAGCTGTCATCTAATGCTTCATACAGTGACTATTCATGAGCAAACGTATTTCAAACATACTGCATCCACTGCTGTTGCTGAAAGTATCAGTTGTTAGATTTTAAATCTGAGTAGGTAAATTCTTGTTAAGCAAAAGTATTAAAGGATATAGGCCAAAAGCAGGTATATGGAGTTAGGCCACAGATCAGCCATGATGCCACTGAATAGCTTAAGGGCCAAACGGCCTACTCCTGTTCCTATCTTCAAACCTGGAGTGTGCACATGCACAATGGGTGTAAGAAGCTGATTAAATAATTTATATAGCACTTTTAGCATAATAAAAAGTTAAGGTAATACAAAACAAAATGACTGAGCCACATTTGGAAATATTAGGGGAGCTCAAGGAAGGTTTAGTTCAAAGTGGTAAGTTTCAAAGACTTTCTTAAAAAGGGAGGAAAGCAAGAAAGGCAGAAAAAGGTGTAGACAGGAAATTTCAGAGCTTAGGGCCTAGGTGACTGAAGGCAGAGTCACCAAATGGCATGATCAGATGTTCAAGGAGCCAAAATTAGAGGGCAGGTATCAAGAGTCATGGCACAGGAAGAGAGATAGGACGTGCAAGTCCATTGGTGAATTTGAAAACAAGGGCAACGCTTGATCAGGATCCTACACAAGTCAAATGACCGTAAGTGTGGTAGAGGGATCAGGACTTAAAGACAGGATACAAGCAGCATAGCATTTGAATTACCTCTAGTTTAGAGAGGGCATCCAGGAGTGCATTGGAATAATTAAGTAATAAAGTACAAGTGATGATTTCAGCAGAGAAGCCAAGGCTTTAACCAAGAGGTTAGAGTTAAATTGTGAAAACAGACTGCCTTGACAAAACTGCAGACATTTGGATGGAAGTTCACAGGTTCTGAACTAGTCTGGTTTAGTCCTAGACAGCTGCCAGCAACGGATGGTATCAGTTTGGAATGAGAACTAAAAACAATGGTTTCAGTCCATGCACCATTTAATTGGAGAAAATTTCTGCTTGTCTATTAAGAAGTCAGATCAACAGTCTGATGATTTGTTGAATTGCAGAATTTAACACAAACGCATGCAAGTTGCCCACGAATAAAGAATGCTTTAATAACGACTGGTTGTAAGCCTTGAGCATGTCTAAGAGCTCGGATCAAAGATTTTCCGAGCCCTGAAACCTAGAAATTTATAGCACAGAAACAGGTTTTTAAGCCCATCATGACTATTAGCTTTATGCTGATATACCCAGAACCCAAATCTACTCAGTGCTCTCCTGTAACTCTGTACCTCATCACTTCAAATGCTTGTTCAGTAGCACACAATTACATTAAAATCTCAACTGAAATGTTGTAAACTCTTAAGTTGTTCATTGAAGATTTTCACAATCTTAGCATGAGATTTCCATAGAGAATTTATCCAATAATGCCACATACTAACTAGCTGCCTGGACAATTATCCTTTAAATTTCATGGCTCAAAGTATGTTTGCTCCTTACTTCTTGTCACTTGATCTGCCCCGCTTTTGCAGAAGTGAAGACATTTTAAAAAAAAAAAGGAGACTGAAGCGGGTAGCAATTCAAAATAATTTTCAGTTCCCAATCCATGGAGCAAATCTGCAGTTGGCTTAAAAAACCATCAAGGGAACAATATTAAAATTAGTTGATCACAATTTATGGCAGAGGTTTGGACTGCAAGAGGAAACAAATGGGCTCAGAAAATCAGCTGCACTCCAATTTGGATTCAATCTTTTGAAAAGAAGAATGTTACCAACAGTATTTTATACTAATTGGAGTAATAGGACCTTGGCAGCAGGTTCATAAGCAATGGTGTATTTGCACTGTAATTCTTAATACCCTTGAAGACATGAGGCACAGAATACAAAGTAATAAGTCTGTTCCTCTGTCATTGGTGTATAGTGCGAAGGTTTGGACAATGGACAAGGCACACTGCATATACGTTATGGATCAGTGGCTCCAGTTCTTAAATAAAAACACAGACTCAAATAGAAATGACTTCCTTTACCAACCTCAAATAATTAGTATTCCTACTGTTTGAAAAGAAGAAAGAGCACCAAGATAAATGTAAAGAATTTAATGAGATTAAAAAGCTTTTTATGCAACGTATAGTTGAATTTTGTCATTCACAGTCAGTTGTTGAAATAATCCAAAATTCCTTTTATAAACACAAGGACAGTTAGAAGGTGAATATAAAGCAAAGAACTGCAGATACTAGAGATCTGAAACAAAAACAGAAAATCGGTGGTGAAACACAGAAAATCTGGCATCTGTGGGGAGAAAGAATTAACAATGGAGTCCTGTGACTTGACAGTTCTGATGAAGAACCATTAACTCTTTTCTCCTCCTCGTCCCCTCCCCCCTGCCACACGCTAATAAGCATGTATGGTAGAACTAAATTGCTCCAACCACCAGGTTTTCTAAAAATATTGTCATAGTTACATAGTCAAATCACTAGGACTCAAAGATCACAGTACAATAATCCTAGAGGATTGTGCAACAACTAAGCTTTTGGATCTCTGACTAGCTGTTCTATTTGTCTGTTAAGATTAGTCATGAAATTAATGACAGATCACCACCTGTAGCAAAACACTGATTGATTGGCAATCATAGTAATCAAATATTGCTATGCTGTTTTTCCATGAATAACAACAATAAAGAACTACACAATAGTTCAGTTAAAATTGAAGCCCATGGAATTAAAAGGATCAGTAGCAATGTGAAAGCATAAGTATTATTTCAAAATTTGCAGATGGCATGAAACTCAATGTGCTAGACAAGAGGATGAACAAATCTCAAGAGGAACTTGGTGAAATGAGCAAAATACATCAGATGAGATTTGACAGAGAAGTGTGAAGTGATGCATTGTTAGCAAAAATGCCAAGAGGCACAAGCTGAAACTATCTTTCCAAGAAAGGTTTATAGGAACAGAGAAACCTTGGAAATCTACATACAAGCTTTTCAATGGGTGGCAGGGCAGATGGAGAAAACGGTTAACAAAAACTATGTAAACCTTAACTTTTGTTAGTAGATGAGTATAGAGTTTAAAAAAAGTCAGTGAACCTTTATAAAACACCGACTAGCACTAAGCTAAATTGTGATATTCAGTTGAGAACCAGACTTTGAATTTGGTCTACATGTAGGTTTAAGTAGCAGGTTAAAAGAGTAAAGGAAGAAGAAATTCCTAAAAACTTAACCTATGCAGATGAAGGCTCTGCCACAAACAAGGAAAGGATGGGGAATAAAAATCATGGATAAAAAGTGGCAGAAATTTTGGTGGGTAGTTGGAGGAAATTACATAGACAGGAATGGGTGAGGCCACAAAGTGATTTGGAAACAAGGATGAGAATTTTTTTTAAAAAGACTAATAGTAGGCTCAGAACAAACGTAACATCAAGCACAAAGGTGAAGGCCAATGAGGACTTGGCAGCAGAGTTTAGAATGAGGTCGAATTTACATAAGGCGCACAGTGGAGACCAGTTAAAAGAACATTCCAACAGTCAAATCTAGTTTTAACAAAGGCACAGGTAGGAAATGTTGTGGAGGTGGAATTTACTATCTTTGGTTATGAAAAACGATCATGTTCTTTTCAGCTTGATTCAGATGCCAAGGTTGCAAATAGTTTGGCCCGAATTCAGTTGTCAGGTAGAGGGATGGACTAGATTGCTCGGGAACAGTTTTGGCAAAGATGAAAACAATGCTTTAGATCTTCTAGATATTTAATGGAATGAACTTTTTCCACATCCAGTACTGAGGTATGGTCACAAATTTTGTTAAAATCAGACAGGGGAAGGATTGAGGTGAACGGAAGGCCAAAGCGACTGTTAATTTGAAAGAAAGTTTAAATGATGTGGTGGCAGGGAAACACTTTCCAGAAACGAACACAGAAGGAAATGAAGTTGAGTTGAGATGAGCAGCAACCATACACCAACCGTATTGATAGGTTGTGAATGCCTCAAAACAAGAACCTCTCTTTACAGGAATAGATCAGCGCTAGCCTGGAAACTAAGCTTCTAAGGAGGGACAGTTGTGATATTTCAGTTTCCAGAGAAAAACAAAACCAATTCTTTACTTGGAACACCCCACTGCAGTTATTCTGTACCTAAATAGTTTAGAAATGGTCTGAATCTGGCCAGATTACAAGAAAGAATTGAAGCATTAATATAAACAAATATTAAAAAGAGTTAAAAAAGATTAGCTCAAGCTTGCACCAGACCAGTGGGAACCACTTACAGTTGGGCCAAACTGAGCTCTTCCAGCTGATGTTTGTTTTCAAGTCACCTGGCTTTCAAAGCTCAAATTTATTTTCATGTTACTAGAAGCGTTCCACGCAGCAGTGTACATAACACTTGAGCAAGGCGGTACTTGAAATGTGTATGAATATGCAAGGTAGCTTGATTCAGAGGCAAGACTTGATTTTCCCCTACAGGTGGATATTATATAAAACTTGTTTTATAGAGAAATAAACATTAGTTCAAATTAATGGACAATACTAGAACTTAAAGGATCAAATGTAGCAATAATAATAAGTCACAATATGGAAAGAGAAATATTTTAAAAAGGGCCAGTAGCTGCAGAAGGTGTGCTAGCCATCATATTAAATAGGCAGGAACAAAAGCTATACATTAAACTTGCCACAGCAGGAATGTCACCGGTACATGGGACAACGTTGCACCATAAATTTCAAATTAAAGCCAGTAATATTTACATTGGATTGTAAATAGTCTTATTCACTAGCATCTCATCCTTGTTTTCCGTTGAGTAGTACGGTAGGATCTTCATTGTTCAGCTGAACTAGCAAACACTAAAAATACTAATACGAGCATAGCTTTTGAAATAGATATGAATTAGAAGCTTTGCTTCAGCCCTGTGCTGCCATTCAAGAAGTTTGTGGCAGTTCTAATTATTCTACATTCTTGCCACTCCCAATGATCTTTCACCCTTTGCTAACAAGTATTATTACCTTTAAAGAAAAAAATTCAAAATATTCGACCACTTTTAGAAAGATTTCCAAAAACACTTAACACTGAGGAAGTTTTTCTTCATCTTTCTTAAATGGTCATTTTTTAAAAAGATAAGAGCAACCCACAGTTCTCTATATTCCCGTAAGAGGTAAGATCCTTTCCGTATCCTCCCTGTTAAGATCCCCAGGATCTTTTTGAAAAAACCTCAACAGGTTTGGCAGTATCTGTGGAGAGAAGAGTCAATGTTTTGAGACTAGTGACCATTACAGGGCCAAAACAATGACTCTGCTTTCTCACCACAAATGTTGCCAGACCTGCCAAGGTTCGCCAGCAATTTTTGTTTCATATTTCCAGCATCTGCAGCTTTGTTCATTTTTCTCCTCAGGATCTTGTACATTTCAATTACATCACCTATTGCTCTAAATTGAAGCAGATATAAGGCTAGCCTTTTCACTCTTCCTTGAAAGGGCAACCTATCCATTCCAGATTCTAGTACAGTAGACCTTCTCTGAACAGCTTCCAATTTTAACATCCTTCCTTAAATAAGGAGACTAAAACTGTGCACAACAGGGGCACTTCTAGTGTTGTCAAAACATCCTTCAAGCCAAAAAACAACTCATTCATATTTGTTAGCTAATCAAAATTAACTTATAAATGGATTCAACTATTCATGACCAGCATTAAGAACTACACAAGGAATTTTCAGACCAAAATGTTTTCCAGTACGTTAAATACACCCGTTTGCAAACGTAAATCGGTTGTTACATCGCTGGATAAGTCAGGGATAGCCCCCATTGCCCTTATTACTATAGCAAGCCATATATATGTTATTTGACCTTGCTGCGCATTGATTGGTAAAATGGCCAAGCCTCTACTTCCTTGGTTACTTCATGTTGGTGGTGGATATCTAATAAGATTAGCGAATTTGGCCACAGTGCCGCCCTTGTCACACCTGTGGGTAGTCAGCAATTTCTTTTGGACAACCGTGGAGTCTAAAGGAGTTTTGAACCAATAACTTGACATTGGGGTTAATTTCGAGTTTAACGTCTCACCAAATAGTTCAACAATTTCTCTTCGACCCCAAAAACGAGAACGCTCTACTTGGTCCTGTTTGGTATGGCAAGTAAGTCAGATACTCACAAAACCATAACCTCGAGATCGTCCGGTCAACCTGTCCGTTATCACCGCCGCTTCTTCAATTTCTCCGAATCGCTGAAAATATCGTCTGAGTGATATTTCGTTGCTATGATAAGGTAACCCACCCACGAAGAGCTTCCGAAATACTCTGTCCTTATTCATAGCTGGCATGGTTTGGGGGGGGGGGGGGAAGGGGGTGTGGAAACAAATACAGAAAACATACAATTCTTACAATAAGGCGGATAAAAAAAAACGAGAAGCCCAGTGATTATAATTTTGCAGTAATTAAAGTCATTAATGTCTTGGTGAAAAAATATGAAATAGACACACTTTGAGAACGAGTGGTTACTCACTGGCCGCTACACGCGTATCTGCTGCGGAATTCACCTCTTTGTCTCACCGCGCACTCGTTGCCTCCGTTGCTTTTGTTTCTTTGTAATTCACGATGTATCCTCACGGGACTCGAAGTTACACCCCGCTCGACAACCCATTGGCTCATACGGCGCCTGGACCCGCCTTAGTGGTAGGATTTATTTCCTCTTGGCTACTGAGCCCGTCAATCACCTGCACAACCGTACTTACTCGAATAGCAATTAATTCATAACGGCCGAAGAGCATTAAGGTCTCTACGCCTTGCAGCTCTCATACACTAAACACAGATTATCAATCGGGCTAATATATCGTATAATTGAAAGCCGTGGGACAAGATTTTCATCACAAGTAGCTATCTTCGTGAACATGTGGACAGGGGGTAGTGCAACGGAAAATTGTTGACGCCGTCTGGTGGAAAGAGAACGCTAAGCATTAACATGAGAGATTGGGAAGTAAAATAATTTTAAACCTGATCTTTTAATGTATATTTTTGTCAGTTTTCATCCCAGTTTCAAATTTCCTGCGTTTCATCAAAGTCTGCGCACCAGTCAGAAGGCTATTGGTTGTAGAGTGTAACATGATCTCCAACTAAAGGCACTGCTCCTACTAAAGTTAAGAAATTCAACATGGGTTGGGGTGCAAAACTGAGCACTGCAGTTATTTAGTCATTATATTTTCTAAAAGATGTGTTAATTTTACAGTGTTTACCTGAAAACTAACTCCTGCTCCACTGATTCTGATATCCCCATGATCCCCACCATTGATGGTTGTGCCTCACACTGGGGCAATCTCATCACCTCCCTGCTCATGCATCACCACTAATCAGTGTTCCATCCACTTCCAGGATATATTAGCCCACGAGGTCCATGATGGTAGGGATTGGAGACATCAGGTTTCACATTCCCTATGTGGACAAAATTCATGATTGCTCAAGTAGCAATGAAGACATTTCAATTGACAACCAATCTAATAAGCAGCATTGTATGAGGCTGCTATCCTAATACTAGTAGCACTAACTCCTTCCGAACCTGCACAAACATTTAGCCTTCTTTAACAACTAAGCTTCTCTCTCCCTTATTCAGACACTAGCTTCATCCAATAAATCTCTGCAAAGAGACTAGCATGAGAGACCCTCTTCTCTGGCTTCCTCCTCAGGGGTGAAGGTAATGAACCCTCTGACGATAACGCCATGAGGCCTTCAACTACATCCTCCACCAATTTGGAGAATTTCATCACTGTGGCTATTCTTTCTAGATCAGAGTTGGGAGACAATCTGGTGAGTATACCACTGACACATCTCTGTAGTTGGTTCAGGGAAAAAAATACCCTAGGTCTCTGACATTCAGAGGACTGCCAGAGCCCAGGGATCATTTCAGCCCCAGGCAGATGAGTCCCTGTTCTCCACCTTCAATGACTTTCAATACAGGTACAGGGACATCAGGCAGGTTTGTATTCAGTAAGCTAAATTGATAGATGGATGTATCCACCAATGTTATTAGTATTGTGTTGGCTCTGCATGCTTGTGTCTGGCACTCCTTGGACAGGTTGTAGACTGCCATATAGAGCCAGGTCCAGCACATTGTTAAATATGTGCAGAGACCTGCATTCCACTGCTCTAGCCCTAGCTGCTCAGCATTGATGGCAAGATGAGAGGGGCACAAGAAATTTTGACCAGACTCCAAATGTCCTTCTTCGCAGGATGGTGCCAGAAGGCACCCACATGGAGGTGGAACAACACACAGGAGTTTCCCCACCCCCGAAGCTTCCTCTCCGGACACACCACCCAGTCCCTCTACTTCTTCCTGCCCATGATGCTAAAGTCTGCAGAAGTTCAAGTTGAGGAGGGAGACCCTGCATCTGGCCAGGGCAATCCCACCATGCCTTGGCTTGAAGGCACCCTGAGACAACTGTTCTAGTCTTCCAAGTGAACAAGGCTAAACACAGAGCAGGCTCCCTCCAATGCAGAAGTCATTTAGACAAAGTGGGAATCAGAGGAAGAAGAGAACATATTGAAGAAACAAGCAGTCTGGGTGACTTTTCATTGTAAATAGCCTTTCATCTTTGTAAATAAACATTTATGTGCACTGTTACAAAGTCTGCTGTAGTATCATTTTCACTGTTAGACCTGATTAAGTTATGAAAGTGAGAAATGTGTAGGCTATTCAGACATCTCAAGGCTGAAATAAGTTATAATGGCCAAGCATTGTTCATTCCCACAAGCAACTGACTCCTTGACGGCACACAACATCAAACATCAGGGATCCTTGAACTGTGATATGGAGGTCTACAGCGAAGACATTGCATTTTAATGTGGGCAATAAAGGGAATGTACCAGAGCCTGGCTTTCATGCATCATTCCACATTAACACCCACATTGTCAGTGAGAACACTGAATCAGTGATAAGTCCACACATCTCTGCAGGGAAAGGTACATTTTATATCTCAGCTTTGCCATTCAAGGCTGGGAGATGTACAAAAATAGCTGTTCACATTACCACTCTTTTTGTCATGCAGTGGTTAGTAGAGAAAAGCTGCATAAAGTGCTGCAACCTTTACAGCCAATTGAGAATGCTCAAGCATATAAGAGCATTTTCAGTCCAAGCACATTCTGAAACATTGAAGGGTTACCAATGATAGAAGGCTTAAACAAGATTTCTGTCAACCTGCTGGTTATCAGGAGATGCCTCACTATACAACACTCTGATATGATATCCTGACAGAAGTTTTAAAGGACTGCCAAACCTTAATGCCAAATGATGTTAATGCACTGTCTCACTGATTACATAGTCTACTGGCCATTTGGAAAAAAGCAATGTGTAGATGCTTCACAATGGAATCAAGTAAGGATATCAAACATACAATCACATGGATAATGAGACATTTGATTCAGCAATGTCAAAGGTCAAAGGTAAAAGACTGCAAAAGTAGTAAGGTCCACATTTCTTTGCACTAAGCTTGCTATATCACCAACAGAATGTTAAACAATTAAACAATGTCCAAACACAGCTAATTCATTCTGCAATAAGGTGTACAGCTGGCTGAACACAGCAGGCCAAGCAGCATCAGAGGAGCAGGAAAGCTGACGTTTTGGGTCTGGACCCTTCTTCAGAAGTGGGGGAGGGGAAGAGGATTCTGAAATAAATGGAGAGAGAGGGGGAGGCGGATGGAAGATGGATAAAGGAGCAGACAGGTGGACAGGTCAAAGAGGCGGGGATAGAGCCAGTAAAGGTGAGTGTAGGTGGGGAATTAGGGGTGGGGATTGGTCAGTCAAGGGAAGACGGACAAGTCAAGGAGGTGGGGATGAGGCTGGTACGTAGGAGGTGGGAGGAGTGGATAGGTGGGAGAAGGGACAGACAGGTTAGGAAGGCGGGGACGAGCTGGGCTGGTTTTGAGATGCGGTCGGGGGCGGGGAGATTTTGAAGCTTGTGAAGTCCACATTGATACCATTGGGCTGCAGGGTTCCCAAGCGAAATAGGAGGTGCTGTTCCTGCAACCTTCGGGTGGCATCATTGTGGCACTGGAGGCAGCCCAGGATGGACATGTCGTCCAAGGAGTGGGAGGGGGAGTTGAAGTGGTTCGCGACTGGGAGGTGCAGTCATTTGTCGCGAACCGAACGTAGGTGTTCCACAAAGCGATCTCCAATCCTCCGCTTGGTTTCCCCAATGTAGAGGAGGCCACATCGGGAACAATTTGGGAACATCGGGACTTCACAAGTTTCAAAATCTCCCTGCCCCCGACCACATCCCAAAACCAGCCCAGCTTGACCCCGCCTCCCTAACCTGTCCATCCTTTCTCCCACCTATCCACTCCTCCCACCTTAACCCCTACTCCCACCTCCTACCTACCAACCTCATCCCCGCCTCCTTGACCTGTCCGTCTTCCCTTGACTGACCAACCCCCATCCTAACTCCCCACCTACACTCACCTTTACTGGCTCTATCCCTGCCTCCTTGACCCGTCCGTCTCCTCTCCACTTATCTGCTCCTTTATCCATCTTCCATCCGCCTCCCCCCTCTATTTCAGAATCCCCTTCCCCTCCCCCATTTCTGAAGAAGGGTCCAGACCCGAAACGTCAGCTTTCCTGCTCCGCTGATGCTGCTTGGCCTGTTGTGTTCATCCAGTTCTACACCTTGTTATCTCAGATTCTCCAGCATCGGCAGTTCCCACTATCTCTGATTCATTCTGCAAGTGGGTTTCAATTAGGTTATCTTTGTCCTAATGGGCTCAATGCTACAATCTTGTGTCATTTTCTTTTGGATAGCTCTCTCGGTCAATGTCCAATCATCAACCTCATCTTGACCCTTGTAAGATTGCAGTGAGTTTCCTATTTTGTCTGCATTCAGGCCATCCCCATCTGTTGGCTCTAGTTGTGAAGGGCACAGCATGCTCTTCACACTTTTTCTGAGTTGTAGTGCAAGGCTCTGCCCAAGTGGTACAGGTTTCAAAATCCAATCCATGATTTATTGCACTATGACACTGGTGGAAGTATGATAGCGTTATATCTTTGTTCTGGATCACACTGAGGATTTCATAAAGGTGTCACAAGCCAAGTTTGGAGTAGGTATATCTTTGTCTCCAAGCACCATACCTGTATGGCCTAATGACTTTTGTAGGAAGAGTAACCTGTGAGTTCTCTGGTATTTAACAGCCACGGCAGTTCCCAGGATGTCTGGTGTGAACCGTGGCATTGATGAACACATAATTCGAACATTGATGAAGAGAAAGTCTTTTCTGTTGATGAATTCTGTACGTTGGTGATAGCGTATTCTCAAAGCAATGCAGCTTCAATTGATGGTGTGCTGCATCTTGGAGAAGCCAGGGATGATGGACAATCTAACAGCCTAAGCTGCTTGACTCACTCATCATGGGGGAAGGATATGAATAGCTGTGATCGAGAGAAATTGAAATCAGTGACATTCTAGATGCACCTACGTGTTGAGGATTGGGAGGTGCCACAAAGAACTCCAGCTGCTCTCCAAAGCGAGTCATCAGCATAAAAATTCAGAATAGCTTTGATAGACACCGGATGGGATTTTCACTCACTCCTTCTGGGCAAGAGTCCTGCTCCAGCAGATAACACAAATTTGGAGATGATGATCTGGAACATCCTTAATCAATGCCTGCCCTGTCTTTCAGATAGTTGAAGATGATGTAGATATGGGGTCTCATTATTCTCCTCTGCCTACTTGATAGATCATCACCTGCTGCTTCTTCTTGAGGCTGAGTGGCAGCCACTGGGGGTTGTTCTCTTACTGATGTTGTAGTAATCACTGTCTCTTGTCTTCAGAATAGCACCAAGGTCTCGATGATCTCTGTTGTGGTAATTCCCATGTGACATCTCGGAGTTGATAATTTGTGGGGAATGTCAAAAAGATAGTGCAATTTTATTGAAGAAACTCCTGAATGCTCATCTCCATAACAATTGAAACCTTGCTATGTCCTCAGTCTGTGTGGCATAGGAGCTTCCCAAGGAGGTCACTGTCATGCCTCCATAAGGGACTCAGATATGTGACCATATCTAATTGCACATTGCACAGCCAAAGATTTCATGCTACATTGAAAGTAGAATTCTACTAGTAAGTGTGATAGAGCCCCACTCCCAAAGAAAAAGCTCTCATCCACATCACTGACCATATCCTTGCATGCTTACAAATCAGTGTGCAAAGTGCAGACTTTTAGAGCTTGGGTGACTGCGCCTTGCTGTTGTTACATTTGTTTAGCTGACATGACAAAGAGGCAACTATGCACAGAATGTAGTTACTGTGATTGC